TCATTGTACTACAGTACATATGGCCTGAAATGGGACTACTGTAAGGCCAAACTATAAGCACATTCACTCAGTATAACCAATCATAGAAAGTAGTACCTAACTATTAGTAACAAGTTAATTAGAAGAGGGAATTGGGGGGAATGAATTTAAACAAAAAGTGGGAATACGTTGGCAATACAAATGCACACCTCAAATATTATATTTAGCAAAATGCTCCTGCAAAAGGCTTTTCTTCAAAATTATTTTTGACAGGCCTTAAAATATCTTTTCCAGGGCCGTCTGACAAAATGTCCGGTGACGTTGAGATTGGGTCGGACATATGTCCGATGACCTTCAGTTCATTTTTGACTCGGAAATAAGTCTGAATGACACAAATGAATAAACGGTAAATGTTGTAAAGATATTAAATAATTTGTTTCTTTCATACATACTTGCCAGAACAGCAGTATCAAAAAGACTTCGACAACTTAAGTCCGTTTTCCACTTCACCATTTCGCTCGCCGCCCCGCGCTCGACTATACGTTAAAACAACATTTCCAGTTGACCTTTTATACAATAGTACTCTGATTTTCCATTTAACATACAAGCCTGCCTCTAGTCCTGGCCTCCTGGGCTAGGGTACATTTTGATTTACGTCGGACAAAACTACAGTTCGGTCGGACACCAATACACTCGGGTCAGACAAACAATAAACCTCAGTTTCACTTAGGTCGGACAGAATGTCCGGTGGTTTCTTTTCTACGTCGGACAATTTCACGAATGGGTCGGACAATGTCCGTGACCAACCGATATTTTAAGGCCTGCTTGAGGAAAATTCATTTAGGGCCTCTTTGTTTCATGGTATGCATGTTCCATTCTGATATGTACAGTACCTAGTATGTTGTATTTGGATTAGCAATTTGGATCCAGGATCCAAGACCTGTGGTTTGGAAAACATACTGTCCAAGACCTCTGGTTTGGAAAACAATGTTACCCTGTTTAATGTAGTTGTGTTGTGTTATCCACATTTATCATTTATAAACCCGGAGCGAGGGGGATTCGGCAAAATATTATTGATTGAACAATTTGAAGTTGAGGTATAATATTATGAATTGCACCTGTGTTGTATTTGGATCAGCGACTTGGTCATATGTAAAGACCTTGGGTTCTGGCTTGGAAAACAACGTCAGTGATGTTCGAGAAGTCACTTCTAAACATGGTTTATGATCAATTTCATTTGCATAGCTGTCAGGTGGTCGTACACGGACATACACCTTGATGTTGTCATCACTGGAGAGAGACATTAATGATTTTATATAGATATATATGTCATTATAATTAGCTTTCCGCTGTGCAATTTTCGGATAGAATTGCCTGCGGTAAGAAAGCTGTGAATAATTGATAAGATCGATACCACTACCTGAAAAATACAAGGAGAACTTCAATGTTTCAAGCTAAGGCCCTGCTTCTTTGGAAGGTTTGTAGCCACTAAGTAAACTTAACTTCCTGACAAAGGGCCTTCTTGAAATGTCAAAGTTCTCATTGTATTTTTCAGGTAATTACATTGCTATAAATCCACAGCTTTCTTACTATTCGCCACTACCTACACTGGCATAGACCATTCAATAATTGTCTGTGGGCCTATAGTTCGGGGTTTTCAGAATTATTCTAAGTAGATGTCTGCTTTGATACAGTATGCGGCTGTTGGGAGGGGGCGGTCTGGGATCGAGTCTTAAAGTCATTCAAATTAACTAGTGTATATTGATTCAGCCTCGTACCTAGGCTCTTTAGTAATTAATAGCGTTCAGAGCTCCCAAAGAATCCCCGTGTGCCTAGCTCACCTAGAGCTCTGAACGCTATTAATTACTAAAGAGCCTGGGTAGGGTACGAGGCTGATATTGATTAGATAGCAACACAACTGAGCACTGTAGCCAAGTTATAATGTATCACTACTTTCATTCTTCAACAAGGTAACTTCAAGATTTAAGATAGCAAATAACTAAATCAGTTTTACAAAATATAGTACGTTTTCGAAATATAAAGTAGACCAGGTTGAGGAAAAATAACTTTGTTTGAAAGCTTAGAGTGGAGGAAGGAGAGCAGAATTGATATTTTAAGTGCTAAACAAATTATAACCAGCGGCAAACCTCGTAGGACCTGCTGGCGCTCCGGTGGCCGCCGGCTTATTTTGAAAGCCCTGATAGTTGCATTTCTTGCAGCTGCATATGGTTAAGTATATGTATAAAATTTCCATCTACAAAACCCTTTACAATCAAGTGAGATGCCCCAGTGTGGAAAGTTTGTATCGCGCAACCGAGATATCGGGCACTCAATTTTGATGCTTTATATATTTACTGTTAAATTTTCGAAATCTCGGTTGTGCAATTTCCAAACTTTCCAGTCAGGAGTTGTCCAAAATAAAACTAACAAATATTTGCATGGTATATATCTATATAATTGCTTGCACAAAATAGTAGCCAAAATTGCAGTTTCCAATCTGCTATAGTCTAGATATAGGTAGGTCAACTTTATAAAAGGCAAATTATACCTTATACCACCACCACTTGTACTCTCTACACCACCAAGCCATCACGCATTAAAGAAAAGGAAAGAAACATTGGCATAACATTACTAGCATAATTTTGGCAGATTCGTAGTTTCGTACTGGCGACATAGTCACACATTTTGGCAAATATTTTCATCTGACAATTACCTTTCCTGTTAGTATTACCCCTATCAACCACCATATCAAGCAGAGGAAGCCTACAGCATTAACTCTTGTTACAAAAGTACTTTAATTTAATAAAAAAAATCCAAAAGAATATCAAATATAAACAAACGCTTCTTGTACAAAAAGACGAATTTGGCGCTTCGAAGAACAGCGCGAGTCCACGCGCGGCTGTCTCGCATTCCACGCGCGAGGCGGCACGAATGTTAATTAAAAGCCACGTGATTAATTAGAACGCTGCTCAGAAAAAAATTGTAAACAAATCACTTTAGCCTTTTTAAATAGGAAAATTTACAGTTACAAAGACTGAAAATATTGCTAAAGATCTGAACAAACCCTCCTGTTTGTATAGATAATCTGAAAACTCAGAAATCCATAACGACTGATGAGCAAATCAGCGAAATGGAATGTTGTAATTATGCAGCTTTCTTGCTGTGTAAAATTACCCACTCTAGGCACAAAAGTAATTTCACGCATCAAGAACGGAACAAATCCGCTCTGTCAAAAGGTCTTTCTCCCATGTAAACATGAACATCATTTCTCACAACCAACGCAAAGATACGATTGCATAACACATTTTTGGCATTGTAATGTAATTCTGTTTCTATTTAATTTGAACATCGTGTTAGCACATTAAAAACTCCCCGCCTGCTATAATGTATTCGAATTAATTCTATAAAGGCCGCTTCCGACTTGTAAAACAACAGGAGGTTCGATTCACAACCGTAGTATAAAATATTTTCGGAAATAATACTATGCCAAAGGACACAAAAAAGCCGTAACGATGTCAACAAGAAAACCTGTAATAAAAACATACGAACATTTTTTCCATCTTGCCATAAATCATTTTTTGCATTCATATATACACATTTGCTATGTAAACATGCACTGTTTCACGACTCCGATATATTATATTATTTTGGGCAATACTGACCATTTGTAGGTTAGCAACTGATCAACGGTTGTATAATAAGCAACTGGAGTGTGACTCGAACCTCCTTGGATTAAACTACCTTCACAAATTATAATTTTGATACATTTATTGCACTCTATGTTAAAATACTTATCGTATACCCTACTACAAGCCAATCATAACACTGAGTTGAAGTCACTTAGTCACTAACTAAATTCGACATTTCGTGATTTCGAGATTGGGATACGTATTTATCAAATTATATTACGAACATAAAATGCGAAGGCAGGCTGTCAGCGAATCGAATAAGGCAGTTAACCTGTAAAGATTATACTAATGCGTTTGTTACTCACTTGACTTGAGCCACTTCGTCTTACTCGTCGGCGTTGTGTAGACAGGGGTCAAATTCGCCATTTCCAAGCTATAGCCAATTCAAACAATTCTTTTGCCATTTATATTCGGATTAGACAAACTCAGACTTTATTATCGGTCTTTCCAGAGTTTCTGCTATATTGTCGACTGCTCATGGCAGAAATAAACTGACGCGGTCGTTTAATAGTATGATAATTAATGCGGCTCAGTTTAATAACACAAGAATGTATATTAAAAGCTGGAATGAAAACATCGCATTAAGTTGCCTGTTAAAAAGTAACTTGGTTAAACATTTAATCCAGTATGGGGTTGCATATTTAATCTGCAAATCAACATTGAGAAATATTTGAATGGGATATCATTTTTGCCAAGCAATTTCGCAATTTTTTTGACAAACGATTTGTCAACCGGTCAGGCGTTTATAATATTGTTCAACAATATGGGGATAAACTCATCGAGTGTGTATTGATGTAGATGGCACCATGGATGCCCAAAGCCCAGCCAAGGATGCGTGGAAGAGGAAAGAGCCTGGGGAGAAGATCCATTGTCGTAACCGATTAGCCCTCAATCTCGTACCCTCAATCTCATAACCCAGAGCCGTCAACCACTGGCTCTGGACGCGATTGGTGAGCCCTGTCCTTACCTTGAGGACCTACGTCATAAGCAGTGAGACATTAATCTATATCCTGCTTAGGTACGAGATTTGCTCTTGCATAAAGGTAATAGAGCTTCACAGCCATTTTTGTCTTTATGCATTTTATTTTTGACTATGTATGAATGAAAGACGATTGATAATATATCAATATCACATGATTTGAAATATGAAATTTGTATACGAAACTGAGGTCTATAAATTATAGCACATACACAAAGGGATAGAATGATCCTACGGAAATCATATAAATTCATAGTCCGTTACCTCCCCTCAGTACTGAAAGCCTGCCCTGAAATGTATGTACCATACATGACACAACCATCTAACAGAACGTTATGAAATCACACAAATTACTATTTTATACATTTTCTTTTAATTTCGTCACTTTTTAACGACCTTTATCTTACGGGCAATGTTCGCACCGTTCCCATTCCATTAAACGGAACCTGTACACAAGTTTATAGAATTTACAATTACATTTGAGAGTTTCGTACATTAAACCTCAAATTTGTTATCTTGTCCATGCCCAGCCGACAATTTTAATACAAAAATATTCCGAATAGAAGCATGTTTTGTGCACTCAATATTTGAGAAATTAAAAAGAAACTTTGTTTCAAAATAACGTGTAATGTTAGGGTCACCCTAAGATCAACCTTTTCGCTGTCAAAGTTGCCAGATATGATGTGATTTCATAAAGACAAACTAATATGGCATCATATCCGGAAACTTCTACAGTGAAAAAGTTGATGAAGACGATGTTTTTTACTACGAAGATATATTATATTTTTTCTAGAATGACCCAAATATTATACAAACCAAAAATCATACTTGAGGTTGTATATCGTTTTCTTGTTCATTTCTCAAATCGTGAGTACACAAGACGCTTCTATTTTGAGTATGTTCTGTTCTTCGTTACCTTGTACAATACGAATATTTCTTTGATTGATATGATTATTGTGATATGATTGGCGTTATTTCATGAGAGCTTTATACAAAAGTTTGGAATTACATTGTTCTTTCTCTTGTTCCATGATAAGTAACAGATCTTTGAGGACAACCCGACGTGTTCTTTGGCGAGGAAACTGAAAGACGGATGAAGAAGAAAAGATAAAGACAAAAGAAGAATGATAAAGCGTCGGAAACAAACAAATATGCAAACAAACAAACAAACAAACAAACAAACAAACAAACAAACAAACAAACAAACAAACAAACAAACAAACAAACAAACAAACAAACAAACAAACAAACAAACAAACAAACAAACAAACAAACAAACAAACAAACAAACAAACAAACAAACAAACAAACAAACAAACAAACAAACAAACAAACAAACAAACAAACAAACAAACAAACAAACAAACAAACAAACAAACAAACAAACAAACAAACAAACAAACAAACAAAAAGAAGAATATGAAACAAAGTTCTTACTTGATTTCGACTGCCACTTGTTGCAGTTGATCCGGGTCCTGTACTCGCCCCAGGTGAACCCTGAAAAACATTATTGTACTTGATTACCATCAAACATTAAGGCCCATTACCACTCAGGAAAAAATTTCCACGGACAGAAAATTTTACGAAAATATTGTTAAAACTTGAAAATTTTCAAACTTGAAAATTTGTTTTCGGACCCAAAATTTGTGTCGGCCAATCTCACATTTTACAAAATTTTCTTTCTGCGGAAAATTTTCCTGAGTGGAAATGGGCCTTATACTGTAAGTTGCATATTTCGCCCATAACATATGTGAAAAATATTCCTCAGGATCTAGCATCCCGAGATGCCACTCAGGTCAGTTTCCAGCAAGTGTAAACAAGGAAATGTTATCACAGATTACCTCAGTGTTGTTCAGAGCCTCGTCGAGTTTTCGTTTCTTTCGCGGTCCAATAGCGTCTAACGCCGTTTTGTTCGCAGCACGCTTTCGTAATGTTTCCTCTTCCTCGAGTTGAAGCTAAAACAAAGAAAAACAACGCGTTTGGCTTCCATGTGGCTAGAGAACATAATACTGTAGTGCTTGTTGTTCAAAGTAACATGGTTGCGAAATTGTCAAGAAGACTGAGGACCAGGGATGGATCCAGCATGGTCTGGTAGGGGGGTGCTCCGCCAAAAAAAAATTTTCGGAAAGCAACAACCTCCCCCCCCCATCGACAACTTTTTAGGGAAAAAAATTTTCCGGACGAGTACGTTGCAATTGCTTTCCAGTGACTTTACACATCCATCAACTTGCTTAACCACTGCAAAGTCTAGCTACAGTATTTGAATTGTAATTGTTGTTCACAGTTCGCTTATCATCATGTTATTACTCAAATTACTGAATCTCATTTTGTCTCTGATAATTTTTTGCTTTATCATGAAAAATAGCACCCTCCCCTGCACCCCTCCTGGCCAGGGCTAGGGGGGTGTGCACCCCCCTGCACCTCCCCCCCCCAGTAAATCCATCCCTGCTGAGGACTAGTGCCTTGCTGCCGTAATGTAGCTCCCTCCCTCTAGGATTACGGAGTTGGTCGACGGTGGCACCATGAACTAACACCAAAGTTCGATAACACCCCCCCCCCCCTTCTCTACCAGAACTGGCTGGATCCAAGGTAACTGGTTTAACATACCACGTGCTGTCACTCATGCCCACCTGTTTTGCTTTCTCTTTTAATCTTGCTTGCTCAGGATCCTCTTGCCGTGATCGACTCTGTAGTTCATTTATAAAGAAACAGTTCGAGGAATGTACACGACATGTTTACATGAGACAGGGTGACGGTAAAAAGGAGTTTTTTTCGAACAAAAGGATGTGTTCTTACCTTGGCTGCTCGTATCAAAACTTCTCTTTCCCTCGCTTCTCGTTTTCGTCTTTCGAGTTCATCGATTTGTTCAAAAACTCGAAGCTGAGACTTCACGTCTGACGATGTTTGATAAGTCGGATCATCCTGTATATATAAATGTAAATTGTCAGGTAGATTGCAGGTGGTATGTTGGAAAGCATGTAAGTAGGCAGGTAGGTAGGTACTGTAGGTAAGTAGGTACTGTAGGTAAGTAGGTACTGTAAGTAGGTGGGTAGTTAGGTAGGTATGTAGGTAGGTACGTGGGTAGGTAGGTACTGCAGGTACAGTATGTAGGTAGGTGGGTATGTAGGTAGGTAGGTAGGTGGGTATGTAGGTACTACGTGGGTATAGGTACGTGGGTATAGGTACGTGGGTATAGGTACGTGGGTATAGGTACGTGGGTATAGGTACGTGGGTATAGGTACGTGGGTAGGTACGTGGTAGGTGGGTATGTAGGTAGGTGTGTAAGTAGGTATGTGGGCGAGCAGGCAAGATATCAAAGCAAATTAAACTGCTCTACAACGTGTACAACAAAGAAATATATACCGGAATTTCATATCTTACTTTCATTGTTTCCAGTCGATGTAAACTAAAGATTGACAATTTTTCCATGATGTTCGTCAGTCTTTCTTGCGTCGCATGAGAAACTAACCCACACACGTTTGATCCCAGGTTACTCACACCATGCTTTTTCGCTAGAAAATTTACCGATTTTTTTTTAATCAAGTAAAGAATTGGGCAAGATGCCATTTTTTACTTAATATAAGATGGAAGATACCATTACAGCATAGGAAAACAACAGTAGGGCCACTGTCACAGAAAATGTCCGCATTGTTTACTGGCTGCCAACCTGATTAACATACTGGCAGCCGGTAAACGGCAGCAGTTCACTATAAAATTGTATTACAATAATATTTTGACCGCGCAAGACACCTAGGACCTTAACAAATTCACACTTTTGTCTCTCCTGAGTGGCCCTACTGGTTGTCTCCCTATACTGTGATACCATCTTTGACCTAACTAAAGTAACAATTAAACTGGATAGCTCTATCAGTACTAAATTGTTCTAATTCTTAAAGGTGGCAACTTAAATTCGCCCCCCCCCCCCCACCGAAAAAAGTAGTAGCTGAGAAAAAAAGACAGCGTACGTAGAAATCACCATATACACCAGTCAACTTACCAATATCTTCGATTTGCTTTTGCAAGATCTTGCTATTTAAAAAATACGAATCCTTGCAACTTCGTAGCTGCAGGTTTAAGATTTCCGAGTTCGTGGCGAGAATTTTAGACTGCTCTTCCTACAAAATAGAATTTAAAATAGAATAAGAGAACGGAAAAAAATTGGTAATACAAGGAGACATCATCACAAATTCTTCTACGACAAGAAGGCTAAAAATTTTACTCAAAGGCGCTTACAGGATTACTAAGGATTTTCGCAGTGCTGTACCTGTAAATTCACTCCGGCCATACACGCCACATCATTGATGTCGTCATCGTTACCACTGGCAAAAAAATGATTAAGTTTAGGTTCGCTGTATGCCAAGACCAGGCGGCAATGTCACCAATCCCTGATTGGTTAAGGTTGTTCTTGTAGAATACACGCTTCTGGAAAGTGACCAGTCTCGGCTATAGAGCCTCGTTTTCATAATTGAGATATTGAGCCCTTTATCTTAACCATACAGTTATATCAGTGATTATAATATAGCATTTGTAAATCCTGAATGCTGACTGGCTAAGAGCCGTGTTGATATAACTCAATATCAACACGGAAAATTTCTTTCTATATATTTCTTCGTGCTATATTGTAAAAAAATATAAAACATTTTTCCGTATTGACATACAGTTATATCAACACTCGTGGAAATTGGAAAAACGCGAAATTGTGTGAAAACACTCCGGGCGTCGTGTTTCCACACAATTTCGCCTTTCCCAATTTCCACTCGTGTTGTTATAACTGTACTACATATCAACACGGAAAATGTTTTATATTTGTTAAATATAAAAGACCTGTTTACGATTTTGTAATCAGTGACATCAGATAAACGTCTCTAAAGTCAATAGACAGATTTAGATCGAGGACGCGGACGTCAAAGATGACGTGAAAATGACGTGTTGTGCCCATGTATGGATATGCCACGCCATTTTGACGTCATTTTCACGTCGTCTTTGACGTCCGCGTCCTCGATCTAAATCTGTCTGTCTCAAACACGGAAGCGAGGCTCTATAGTCTATAGCCACAGCTAAATACTATCCAGAACGGTGTATTCATAAACAATAGACTCTTGCCCCAATGGCCTCGTTTTCATGTAGTTATTTCCTCGTGTTTTATGCACAATAGGCTTCGACTCTATATCATTACCTGGTAACAGCTGATATCGATGACGTAGGCCTTGCTTTTGATTTATCGTGCGCCTGCGCAGCGCTGGTTGGTGTTGCCGGTGGTTTTATTGTACCTGCGGCATGCGCCATACCTGCCGGACTGGCATGAGACGATATTAACACAATACCAGCTAAAAATACAGATTCAACTATTAGCAAGAGATCCAGTACGTCCAGTAAGAGGCAAGAGCGATGCTTTAAGAAGTGCCCAGAGAAAATCTGCCGGTGTTTGGAAGAGTCGCACGATCAGAAGCATACGTATATTGTACATGCTGAAGTGTAATGAATATTAATGAGGCGAACTACAAAAATTATTTCACGAAAGTTTTTTATCTATTCATGTAGGTAGAATTTGGAGGGAAAGAAAAAGCTAAAGTCCTAAAACAACTTTAGATGACTCGAAAATAATGGTTGTAAACAGTTTAAACTTGCAATTTGAGCCTTTTTTCGTTGCGAATAAGTCAAAGTAAAGCCGCAAAACAAAAAGCGCGCGAAAATTTTTAAACCGAGCCCACGATTCTCATGCCCACTCAGCGACGTTTTCTCATGCCCACTCAGCGACGTCTCATGCCCACTCAACTTCCCATCCTCCACCCCACTCCTTTTCTCGGCAACTCTGTGCAACACCCTCTCCTCTGCCCACCCCCCCTCTCTCTCTCTCGGCAACTCCCCCTACTTACGTTTCGATGTTGCCAGCTGCGTTTTGGGAAATAATTGTTGTAGTCTAGGATGTTGCGCTAAGATCTGTTGCTGTTGTTGCGGTGTAAGTTGTGAGAAAGTGTGTTGATTGAGAACGATTTGTTGTGGAGGAGCTGTTGGTGCAGGTTTTATACGAGGTTTGTTCACAACTGCTGCAGGAACCTAGAGGAAGAAAATGTTACCTAGGTTTTAAATCATCGTAAGACAGTAGTTAGTAGCCATCGTAACTATCGATGTACGTATAAATAACCATGGCAATTCACACAATGATATTCCTGATCTCGTAGAAAAGAAACGAATAATTAAAAGCCCCACGGGTGTTCCACCTCACAAGTGGTCCGTCTACAATACAGGGGAATATTTCCCAGGATTTTTGTCAAACTTTCCCCGAAGTTCTAGTGTTAACCAGTTAACGATGATATTGTAGGAAGAGATCAAGAAAGCCCTGGACGAGATCTGTAACATGCTTCCTTCTTCCCTCAAGACTGAGGTATGTCTTTTACTTTTTCAAACTTTTCTTTTGTTTTTATTCTTTATATTACCTTCTTTCCCTCACCCCTTCTTTCGGTCCCACACCTTTCCTTCCCACCCTTCTTCCTCCCCCCTCCCCTACCCGTGTGACGTTAGCGCTTTAGAAAGGTAGGTAGGTATGTAGGAAGGAAGGTATGTATATAGGAGGGTCCTG